TTATAATTGATATTTTTGCTTCTTTTTGATATTTTTATACGTAATCTCTTATTACTTTACGCAAATTTACGCATGTTTTCGCAAGTTTACGCAAGTTTTCGCTTGATTTGATTTTCATTGTTTGTAAATATTCATAGTTTTACGCATGTTTCCGCTAGTTTTCGACTATTTACATTTCGCTATATTTAAATTTACTATGTAGTAAATGTTTGTAATTATTACACTTACATAATATTCCGGAGTTACTATAGCGTAAACTTTCGTAATTATTACGCCTATGTAATACTCTGAACTAATCGTAAATTTTCGTAAGTTTACGCTCGCGTAAAAACTTGTGAGGGTTTACGCCTATTTATTTTTGCTGATGATTATACAGTATGTAAACGAAAAAGAACTTTATTATATGTAAGTGAAAAAGAACTTTATAATATATATATTATATTAAATTATTCACGTGATTTTGAATATTGCCTTAATATAATTGGCTACTCTCTAATTGCAACCCTCTAAATGCATGCCTCAAAGCCTGTCCTAATGACTTGCATTTAGGGGGGGTTGACTGTATTTAAAATAAATTAATTAATATTAAATTATTTCAAATTAATTCAAATTATATATATAGTTTATACTTTTTAAAATAGTTCAAATTAATTTTATATTTACTGCCTGGTTTCTAATTAATTAGTATATATTTAAATAATTAAAAAATATTATTGCAAATATTTTAAAATTATATTTCAATAAATTAAATAAATTGTTTTATACAGTTTTATCATTTTTATCAAATTTATTTCTATCATCGTTTCTTTGGAATCTGAATAGAAAAAGGTTCTTTTATTTTAATTTATTCTAAATATTTCGATACAATTTAATTTAATTTAAATTAATTATAATAAAAATATTAATAAATATTTACCAAATTTATTGCAATTAATTTTCTTATTACAATGGGATCTAAAATCGAAATAAATTTGTTTTTTGGATTGAGTATGGTCTGACAAACAGCTATAGCAAATGCTATTTTTTTCATGTAAAGTTTTGTTATCTGGTCAGATTTTAGACAATATTTAAATTATATATATATTGCCCAAATCATTTTCCAACTTTTCGAATAACTTCTTATAACACTATTTTGTTTTTGATAATTCCTTCTGCATTATAACTTCATTAGGTTTTGCTTTATTATTTATAGGATTAATAAGACTTCTATATACAGAAAATAAAGTTTTCTTTATCTTATTTGTTAATATATCCTGCAAAGATCTAATTTTTAACAAAAGCTAAAAATACATATATTCACTAATCAACTCTTTCTGACGATTATTTGGGCCAAAATTCCTACTGAAGAAAACCAGAATTTTTGTTGAAGAGTTATAGCCTAATATAGTAGTTTGCCTAAAGGTCAATGATACTATTCTTCTGGGACTCCTCTATAAGTTGTGTATTCGACATGCAAGCCAAAAGTATTAATATACAAGATAACTGGCTAGAGGTGATATAAAATTTTGGTGAAAAAACAACAGTCTACCTATCAATAAAGTTATTTAGGCTGTTAGTTCCAAAGAAAAAAACACAGGAGAAACAACAAGACTCTGCTTTTTCTCAAGCCACACTTCTTTACTTGGTTAAGTAGTCCCTCTTTTACTCTTACTTATCTTCCTGTCGGTCTTCCAAAAAATTTTAACAAAAAGTAGGGATTTGGCTTACCTCTTTAAAAAAGATCGGTATTGTTTACTTCTCAAATCTGAATCAATTAGTGGAATGCAACCACATGTTTGTTTATGGATGAATATAGTGCTACTTCAAGAGACTCAGCCTGAGAACTCTAATTATAGCAGCAGGTAGCTCGAGACACGGGTCCTTGGACAAAGGCAGCACATTGGCTTGAGATATGAATTAGAACAGGCAACAAAGCTATCCAGAGTTGGTAGGAAGATCAAAAAGTAAATTTAATATTAAAGTAAAGCTTTACAGTAGAGATATACAAATGTTGTATTTGTTATATAATTTAAATACTTGCCTGGCACAGGCTATAATAGTGCTTTATAGATTGTTATATTTTTTTTTGTTTTTTCTTTTTAGCAATTTGTATCTGTTTTTTTTTTCTTTTATATTTTTCTTTTTCTTTCGTTTTTATACAATCTTTTTGAAAACTTTTCCCTTTTGTCTTATACCTCTTGAGAAGAAAGAAGAATTAAAAAGAAAAGTTTAACAGTCATAAATAGGCCATACAACAGCTAGCAAAGTATCAAAAGGGTATTTTTATAGTACAAAATTTTTAGAAAGTTTTGGATCCTGAGAGAAGCAAATAGTTGTTATGATAGATCAACTTGGGCAGTATGCTTGGGTAGCTTTTATTAGATAGAACAACATTCGTAAAAAATTGTTGTATTCATGTATAATGGTTACACAAAATTCACATAAATAAAGGCATAATTGTTAAAAAAAAAATAAAAAAAAATAAAAATACATATATTTAGTAAAATTCAAAATATTTAAAAACAAATCAAACTAATTTGATTTAATTTATTAGCTTTTAATTACAGCATGCCCAATACTTACAAAATTTTTAAAAAACATTAAAATATATAGGTTTTTTGAAAAATTAATAGATAATCAAGATTAAAGAGATATTAAATCTAGTACAAAGTACTAAAACTAGTATGAGTAATCCAAGCTATTAAAAAAAAAAAATTATATTTAATTTTTTTTCTTTCAAACTCAATTATATAAAAATATTTAAAATCAAAAATCTACTAAATAAACTTTTTATATATATACACATTTACAATATTTTACTCAAAATTTTTTAATCTTTTAACTGCCTTATTTACAACTTTTTAAACTTACTAACATATTACTAAAACCTCCAAACTCTTAACTTTAATATACCACAAACTCAACAAAACACAATAACAAATATTAAATCATACTTTTTTTAGCTACTTCTTCTCTCTAACCTACCTATACTATTTTAAAAGATCTAGTTTTTACTTTACACAAATCTTACAAATATCAAATATACTAGGAAACGGAAACCGTTATAAGTCTGGAGCAAAATCATATGGGATTGGTTGCATTACACAAATATGCAAGTTGAGACAGACAGAAAATTCAAAGTTACGCTTTTGACATTTTTACTATAGAAGCATCAAGAATGATACTACTGAAACATCAAAAGCGTAACTTTTGCATCACTTTGTATAGAAATTGAGTGTCCTCCGCTACGCTCCGGACAATAATACAAAAAAGCAGCATATATATTATCTGTCAGAGTGAGATTATTATAAATTTAGCATTCACTTAAGTTAGAATAAAATTTTAAATGTAGTCCAAGTTGATATGAACTTAAAAGTAACTTACAAATTGATTTTAAATTTGATACCGTATTGGCGCGTAATAACGCGTATCTACGCGTTATTTTGAGACCCTGCACGTTATTTTGGGATGCACATGCAATCATTTTGACAAATTTGGGTTACATGAGGAAGCTCTACTTTTAATAATAAACTTGGCCTGACAAAATATGTAATATGAGGGGGGCGTGTTATTTTGAAACGCGCATGGGCATTATTTTGAATTTTTGAATTTTCAAAAAAATGGGATTTTCGAAATAACGCCCATGTGCGTTACAGTATTACGCGCCAATACGGTACTATAATAAATTATGATATATTATCAAGATAAAATACAAATATTTTATTTTTATTATTTTTATTTTTATTTCACTTTTCATTCTTTACAATTCTCTCTACCTGATAACCGAATATTAAGATTATTTATTTTTACCCCATAATGTGTTCAAAGAATTGCTTTTCAAATATTTTAGTAATAATCCAGCAAATAGGCAATATAAAACTTGTGAAAACTTTTGTTTTTGTATTAAGGTTTTACAAATACAATTGGGGATGCAAAAAATCATTATTTGGACACTTGCAATACATGATTAAAATAGTATTCTTTCGATGTTCATAAGCATTTGAAAAACATCTATTATGCAAACCTCTTCACAAGTAAGTAATGTTAAATGCAATTGCAAAAATGCATAAGACAAAAATAACTGTAAATGTAAAAATAAATATACCCTGTAGGAATAGTTGCTATCCCACTAATCATAGATGTAAAAATTTTGTGTCATGCTTTTAAATTTCATTAATTTGCGATGCATTGTGTTATGAATAAATCCTATCTTAGTGATTTAAATTTCAAAACGATGTACTCGATGAGAATACACATAACTTTGTAAGTTGAATTGGATTCTTTAACGACTCTGGCACATTTTAGAATTCTATTACAATCTATGTTTATTCAGAATGAATCAATCTAGGCGGATTCTTGAATAAAAATTTGCTAAAATATCAAATTAAAATTAAAAAGCTGCGGCTATGGCGAAGACTATTAAACTACAGTATAAAACTGTGATTAAAGCAAGCTTGTAAATTTCAAATAGTTTGAATTTATCTTATAGCAAGTATGCATAATTATCAATTTAATAAAAATTAAAAATATGCTTCAATTAAAATAGTCACTGATATTATAATTTGAACCTTTATTATACGTTTAGAAAAAAAAATAAAAATTAACCATTTCGAATATGTACAGTACCAAAAGAAAACCGAACTTTTAAATTTATAATTTAATGATTCAGTTATGTTTTCAAGTTTGAAAGCCTGAAATCTGGCTTTTTCTTAGCGTCACTTACGTAATAAAAAAAAATTTTCGTGTATATACTTACTAAAATATAAAAAAATTCGTTATCGAAATTTTTTTTTTTTTACGTAAATCTTGTTCAATTTTCGTACGTGCTGTACGTACGTACCGGTACGTATGCACGTACATATCTGATATTTTACTAACTATATATATACCTTTTTAAAAAAATATATTTAAAAAAAAAGATTAAGTTTTTATATACTTCTGTACTTTCAAATAAACTTGATCTTAAATATTATGGACAAATAATTTTTAAAATAGCAAACTACGTATTTAATGTGATAAAATTATTTAGGTTTTAAAGCCTTAACAATCATTAGTTTTATACCGTTTAACGAAAATTCACGTTGTTCGATTGCGGATTCATAAGAGGTTTTATCGGCGAATTCTATGAAAGCACATTTCTAAAATATGCATAAGAATAAATAAAAGCAATATAATCATCAGATCCCACAGCATATCATTACTAACTTACTCGCTCTTGAATCATCTCAATCCATAGAACTTTTCCAAATGTTTCTTCGACACACTGTCGTAATTTTAATTCATCAATATCTTTAGTTAGACCACCGACATAAGCTCTGTGCGTTCCGATGCCATTAAGGAAATCAGGTAAATATGGAATATGTCCGTCTTATATATTATTCAAATTTGTTAGTAATTAAGACTTTAATTTATTTCATGTATAAATATCGAAAAAAACGTTTAACCTACTTTTAGCTTCAAGTCTTCGATAATTTTCGTGACCGTTCAAATCTACATCAAATTCTCATATGAACAATGAATAATAAAGTAAATAATTCGATAAAATAAACCGAAAAAAAGAGCATCTGACATACACTTTGGTTCAAATCTCCATTGACTAACTTGGCCATATGTATACATATCTGTAATAAATCAATTAAACAATCCGACAAAAAAAAAAAACGAATAATAATAAGAAATAATAATGATTTGGGAAGAATTCATACCTTGACCATAAACACATTCTCTAATAGATTTCATAAGGTCAATTTCATCTCGAATGGCACTTTCAGCCGTAGAAGTAAATTCATTTTCTTCTTTAATATAATTCCCTTCTTTCAACAGGTCGCTAATCAATTGTCTTTGCGCGATAATAAGGTCATCTTTTATCGAGGAATTTTTTTGATGATTAATAATATACGAATCTTTTAGATTTAGTTGAGATGATAAAGAAATACAACTAGGACAGTAATTAATATTATCATGATTATAGTTGTGAATGAATTGCCGCGATGAGGAAGGTTGTGCGATATCCATTTAATTAATTTAATTTTAAAAGTTTATATTTTATATTTTTTCGATATTTAGAAGAGAACACTAATAAAAAAGAAAAAAAAAACGAACGATAGAACAAAAAAAATAAAATATGATAAAATAAAATTTTTAAATATATTACGAAAACAGTTGTTAACGTTGTATTTATGTCACTAGATTAGGCCGCATAAATTATGTAGTTATATGAGAAACTCCTTTCTATGTGATTCGTCATGACATAATTTCTTAAATATTACAAATCAATAATTTTGAAAGTAAGAATATTTTCATATAATCAACATCAACATGATGACATTTAGGCTATTTTACTTCCTTCAGTATTTAAATACAGATATTATTGCACCAAGTTCACTAATCGGAGTACCAACAAGTTTGATTAATAATATTATTTAACCATATTGATACTCAGATTAGTAAATTTGGAGGCAAAATTGGTAAATGCCAAATCATCGCACATGGGGATAGATACATATTTAGTAGTATATTTTAAAAGTATTTGAAAGAGGTAAATTTGTTTCAAATAAAAAAATCTTATTATGTCCATTATCCGATCTTTTTTTCAGCAATCTTCGATGAAAGTGACGCAGCAAATAGCATGTATCTATTCTCGTAAATAATAATTATATACTAATATTATTATTAGTGTCGCTTTACAAACAGAAAAAATTAGCCTTATTTATTATGGTCGCGTGAAGTGTTATTATAGTTTTTAGTATTTGAAGCTTAGTATAAATTTTTGTTAAATATAATGAACAATTAATTTTTGTAGAATGAATCGAGTATTCGTCACGTAAAGAGAACCATTGAAATTCTCAAATATCACTTCTCTTTGATAGAATATTATCCTACACCTATTAAAAAAAATGTCTAATGCCGTGGATTTGATTAGCAGTCCAAACACCTTCACGACGTCGAGACCGCTTCTGCTTGAATCTCTATTAGCATTTATGATAAAGTGCTTGGAGTTAAAGACTTTAAAGCTTTTTATGAGGTAATTTGGCAAAGGTAAATAAATGTGAAGAACTTGCCCACCTATCAAAATCAATTAAAATTACTTAGCGTTAGTCATCAATGGCCAAAATTATAAAGTATAATTCGGGCAAAGCAATAATTAGTACAAATTTACTTATCAGTACTAATAGAGTGATCGTTGATTTAGACTTTGCCAGGGAGATCACAAAAAATTCGAATATGTGATGGAAAAGTGACGCTATCAAAGTTATTCATATGCTTAAAGAATTTAACCATATTGACTCATGTCGGGACTTAAACCGTCATCGTCAGAATCAACCCCGGTTTGCTGGTTTATCACACGTCATAAACTATGATAACTACAGTCAACTACCGATATACCGGACTTAACGGTTTAATGGGTAAAATTTTAAACCAAAATTTTAATATATTATATAATTTATAATGGTTATAACGGATTTTAATAAAAAAGCAACAGATTTGGTATCTATCTGCCAGATGACTGCGGATTAATTTGTTATACAATATAAAAATATTTTTTACATTAAAAAAGCAAGGAAAAAGTGAGTCGAAGGACTTTTGTACTAAGTTAACCTCTCTTATTATCTAACAAAAGTTGTTCTCCTGGTCTTATCGATTATAATGGTGTTAAAATTATTAAAATCATCCTAGTAGAACTGTAATTATAGTTCTTTGAAGTTTGGAAATATTTAAAGATTATACAAACATTGCCTAAATTACAGAAAATTATACTGGGTTAATTTTAATGATCTATTAGAATCAAAAAGATCAAAAAAACAACTTTTGTTAAAATAATGAAAGCTTTGCTAGCTTACTTTTTAATTTTTCATTTATTTTAAAAAATTTATATATTTTAAAAAATTTATAAAAACTATAATTTCTAGTGTTTTATTCAAATTAAAAGCCTGATTTAATTTAAAATTTAACCAAAACTAACTAAATTTAAAATTTGAATTTGAATTTGAAACTAATCTGAAGTATTTAATAGTTAAATATTTAAAATAATTAACTTAAAATTTATATATTAGTGCAATATAAAAAAAAAACCAAATCTAAATTTTAAAATCAAGCTTAATCTGGGCAATTTAAAAATTTTAATCCAAATTGATTTTATAGTTTGAATTAGATAATAATTTAAAATTTTTATATTTAGATTATTTAAAAATAGTGTAAATAAAGATTATTTTTAATAGTAACTATATTGAAATTAGATAATTGACCAATTAGAATTGTAAACAACATTGATTTAACCAATCAAAATTAGCAATTTTTATGTGATTTAAAAAAATTCAAGTTAATTTAAGTTTTTTTAAAAGTAAATTTTTTAGTTAGTATTTAAAAAAAATATAAAATTATATATTTTTTAAATTAAATTATTAATTATTTAAACTTGGAATATAAGTTTAGACAGTTTTGAATAATTTTAAATATTTGAATAATTATATAGTTGAATGTATTTTATATACAATACTATTATTAAGAGTTTACTATCTCTTAATATATAAACCAATACAGACAAATTTGTTTGCATTTTTGTACTTTTTTTTTTTTTTTTTAGCTCTGATTTACTTTTTTAAAATACTAAAATATTTAAATAAAACTTTGTATAATTATATTTAAAAATAAAAATTATTTTTTTACAAAATTAGTTTTTATAGTATAGTTATACTATTTTTTTTTTTTTTACTTTGATAACCTCGCACTAATTTATTAGAATCTTTGTAATTTACAAAATTAACTATCTAATTTATATATTAGGCAAATATCTAGCTACTATAAAGTGCCCAAGTATAGTTATCGTACTGATGTTGCAACAAGCTTTATATATGATACTACTCATATTTAAAAACCTGCTATAGCTTAATACTCAGCTACCTATATTCGAACTGATTACATCTTGCCTTCTTTCTAGACTTATTCTACCAATGTTCAAGTAGAATATATTTTCTCCTACTTCTATATAGTGCAAACATATATGCCAATTTACAAAAGAAAGACTTCTTTTAAAAACTGATCCCTCTTTTTAAACTTATCTTATCTAAAATTTGGTAATACCTTCTTCCAAACTCAATCCACTTAGATCTGAGCAGATTATATTACCTCCTACTTCTATATAAAACTAACATATATACCAAAATTATGAAGAAAAACAAATTTAAAGAAAATCTCTAAAAACTCTCTTATAACTGAAAAAAATAAAAATTATTCTAAAAAAAAGCAGACAGAACTCAAAAGAGAAAATAAACCAACAAAAAAAAAGAAAAGGGAACTTAAACCAATTCTAATATAAATAAAAATAGATAAAACAAGCAGAAAAAAAGAAAAAATTAAACAATCTAACACACTATTATAACCCATGCTAGGTAATTTAAAAATTATATACTAGATGCAACATCTGTATATCTCTGTTGTAAGACTAACTTAACTTTAAAATTCTCTCTGACCTATTTCTGAAGCTTTTTAATAACCTAGTCTATATCTTAAGCCAAGTGCTACTACTATACTAGGATTTAACTCTCTCTATATATGGCACCAATGACAACAAAGATTGCGACATTTCTGTAAAGATGTCGTCACTTCGATATTTGTGTCTCAAGCCACTTGCTGCCACTACCAGTAATTCCTTTTTTGATCAGAACTCATTCTAGAGCTTGTACAACATATTTGTCTCCAAACACGTAGTTGCTATCTACTAGTCCATCCAGATTTAGTAAATAAACAATACTAATTTTTTGGAGAGAGTAAGCCAAATTTCCACTTTTTATAAAAAATTTTGAAAACTAATAGACAAATGATAAGAGATAAAGAGAGACCACTTGAGCTTCAAACTACTTTGAAGGAGTATGAGTTTTTTTTTTTATAGTTAAGACCTACTGCTTAACACCTGCTTAATATTTTTTAGTGAGTAATAAACTCTGGACTTGTCAGCAGATAGCATATAAAAACTATTTCTAAATGACAAGTGCTGAGACTATGCAGTGAGTGATAAACTCTAAGCCTGTTAGCAAGTAGCATATAAGAACTACTTTTAAACAACAGATGCTATCTTACTATCTAGTATATCAAGTGCTGGCTTGTAAGGTTTTTTCTTGCAATAAAATATTTTTTAGAAAATGTAGTTTAAGTGATTATCAAAAAGTTTTTAATCCAATAGTTATACTTTTTTATAAACATCTCTATACAATTATATTATATAGAAACCTTTTATAATTATATCTATATTTAAGCCTAATTACTATTTAATATATAACAAAAAAATTTGTATATCAACTCTTTTCAACAATCACCTGTACCAAAATTTTCTGCTAAAGAAAAACTATAACAACTTGTTGGAGAGACATAGCCTATATAGTGGTTTGTCTAAAAATTAACTGCTTTTTTAAAAAACTCCTTTAAAGAATATTCAGCATACAAGTCAAGAGCATTATTATACAAAATAACTGGCAGGTGGTGGCTTTGTATAAAAAATCTTGGTAGAGTGTAGCAAAGGCCAACTTTATAATGAAGCTACTAGTCTATTACTTCAAAGAAGAATATAGAGGAAACAACAAAAAGTCTTATTCTTTCAATATACTTGTTTGAAAATTTTTAAAAGTACTTGCAATCTTTTGCCCTCACTTCCACTTCTCTACTAGTCTTTCAAAATTTTTCTCAAAAAAGTGGAGATTTGGTTTACTCCTTCAAAAAATTGGCATTGTTTACTTTTTTAATTTAGATATATTTAGTAGAATGCAACTACATAACATGTTTATTTATAGTTATGATGCTATTTCACAAGACATGAATCGAAATCTCAAAACCTGGTAGTCAAGAGATATCCAAGAGTGGTAATATAGCCAGAAAGACTCAAAGTTTAGAATAAAGCCTTACAATAAAATATATAATAGTTATGATTGTTATACAATTTTTATTAGCCTAGTATGAGTTATAATAGTATATTTTTTTCTTTTTTTTGCTTTCTGCTTTTTTGGTATTTTGAAGTTTTAACAATTGGGCATTCTTTTACCTTTTTGAAAAAACTAGATACTTTTTTTTTTATTTCTTTTTTCTTTCCTTATCTTTTATATATAGTGTTAGATAGATTTTCGTTTCTATATAATATTATATAATTTTTGTAGCTTGGCATAGACAAAAATAATATTATTATAGCCATTTTCTTTGTGATCTTTTTCTTCTCTTTTCTGTTTTTTTTTCTTTCTGTTTCATTTTTTTATCTTCATTTAGTTTAGTTATTTTTCTACTTTTATTTTTTCTTTATAACTTCTTAAATTTTTCATTATTTATTAGTAGATTCTTCTACTTAGAAGGCTAAAAGAAAAAAATTAGAAAAAAAAGTAGTTATAATGAGCTAGTGAACCAGGCCAGTAAGCTGGGAAGTGTCTCTCTGAGATAAAAAGAACCAAGCTAGGGAGGCTGAACTCATCTTTGGCAGGCCACATATAGGTGCTAGCAATACTTAGATACTTAAAAGTAACTAGATGAATCACATTCCAGTTTTTTGTCAAAAATGATATTGTGTATCAATTATTTTTAAAAAATTAAAAAGTATAAATAAAGTTGGGCAAGTGATATAACTATTCAAATTAAAAAATATATATATAACAAAAAAATCTATATATATATAAGTATACCTTTTTACAAAAATATTTTTTAAAAAAGTTTTTATAGTTTAAAAGTGTGATATGACTATATAAAAAAAGTTTAAACTGCTTATAAGCTATCAATAAATAAATTTTAAAAAAATTTTAATCAAAAAAATTTTTAATAAACTTTTTAAATATTAGTTTTAAATCTATATAATTCTTAAAACAATATTATAGCTTATAAAAAAGTTATAATTTTCATTATTATACTTTTAGTGATTTACTAATAAAATTAAAATTTTACTTAGAAGTAAAGATTTTTTTATAGAGATGTGATAATATAATAAAGTAGTAGAATTGTTATTCTTT